TGTGGTTTCTACAATGAGTGATTGCACAGTGTGTCAAAGAGAATATAACATCAGATCTTCACGGATAATTGGACATGTTCAATATCAAAATTCTGGATTCCAGCTCTATCCCTTCCTCAAATACCATATTTAGTATCATTTAGACTTATTGAACAAGTACAGGGGTGAGATAAAAAAACCGCAACAAAGACAAACGCCATAATTTTTACATTTTTTCTTTCTTAAATTTTATTGAATGAAAGCAAAAAATGTCGGAAATAGAATCAAATTTTAGAATAAGTTTAGATTTGTTCGAATTGGTCACCTTTGGTACGAGTTATGGCCTTGAAACGGCCAATGAAACCGCTACACGCTGCTCTGCGGTATTTTGACCCATTCCCAGCGAAGCGCTTGCTTGAGGTGATCGACACTTTGGTATTTATTAGTGCCAACCTTGCTTTCCAAAATACTCCAGACACAGTAGTCCAACGGATTGGTATCCAGAGATTTTGGTGGCCTCATTTTGTAACCATTCTTGGGTGGCGCGTGCTAAGTGCGATGGTGCTGAGTCCTGTTGGAATGTCCAAGGTCTGCGGCCAAAATGTTTGTGTACCCAAGGATTTAATACATCCTCCAGAATGTCTTCGCGATAATATTCGGCATTTATTCTGATGCCACGGACGATTAATACGAGCGGAGAGCGACACCATCACCATGGCCGGCGCTTGAGTTCTGGTAGCCAACCGAAGGTGCACATTTTCAGCTGACCTCTTTGGCAAGTAATCACGATCATATTGTTTATTTACAAACCGCTGGACAACGAATGTTTTCTCATCGGAGAAAACCAAATTCGGTAGTTCACCACTTTCGGCCAAGCGAAGCAACTCTTAAGCTCTTTTGAGTCTATTTTCTTTCTGTTGTGGTGTAAGTTCTTGCACTTTTTGGCTTTACCCCGAGCTCATTTTTCAATATTTGCCGAATGGAATGTTGCGATGTGTTTAGCTTACGAGCCATTTTTCGGCCACTGTGACACGTGAGCTGTCACTGGAATAATTTTAACAGCTGTCGGACGAGTGGCTTAGAAATTACACCAGTCTGAAGTTGGATGCTGTTTTTTCATCTAAATGATTCTCCAACTCCCATTTGCTATTAGTTCGAGTCTGAAATCATTATAATAATTTAAATATAGTCACCCTGAAATAAGTTATATTTGTATACCCTCTATCACAGTATGGAGGGTATATTAAGTTTGTCATTCCGTTTGTAACACCTCGAAATACACATTTTAGATCCCACAAAGTATATATATTCTTGATCAGCATAAAATTCTGTGTCGATTTAGCGATGTCCGTCCTTCTGTCCGTCTGTGGAAATCACTCTAGCTTCCGAACGAATTGAAGTAAATTCATAAAATTTTGCTCAAATGTATGTTATGTCTGCAGGACTTTGGGTATTGAAAATGGGCCATGTAGGTCCACGTTTTGGTATAGCCCCCATATATTTGAATGTCGTAATGGATACTACAGCTTACGACAGAAAATTGTCTGTGCAGGTCCACGTCTTCTTAGAGCCCCATATAACGGTACCTTCCGATATTCGGTATTTTGATTTTATCGACATTATAACCGATTTTTTTTTAAGTTTCGCATTTGAATATTGTAAATTCTTATGACAAATGTTACCTACGCAGGTTCATGTATATCGTATAGATCCTAATATAACAGCTACATTCGGTATTTTTAAGATTTTAACAGAATTTTTAACGGATTTTATTGTTTTTGAGAATTGCCAAATTCGTTCCAAATGGTGGAGGATATTTAAAGTTCAGCCCGGTCGAACTTACAGCTTTCTTAGTTGTTTTTTTTATTATTTTTGATTATATTATGAATTTTGAGTTACTTCAAATTAAAAAAAAAATTAATTAATTTTGGACTAACGCGCCATATAAGGTTTCTTGTTATAACAAAAGATAATGGGTCAAAATATCGTTGGCATGAACAATTTCTGCAGCCTATACATATAAATTGAATTCCTTTCTAATTATAGCTGTGCAATTTCAGTGACACGTTTTGTAAATTCAAATATTTATAGAAATAAATGTAAACACAAAAGCACATTTACCCATGATTTTCATTCATATTTTTAGCCTCGTCGGATTTTTATTAATAAAATGCAAAACAGCCGAAATAAAATAAATTCCAAGAAAATAATCATGACTAATGGGGCGATTTATTTTTGATTGGAAAATATTATTATTTGCAAGCAAATTTTTGACATAATCCCATGACAATATATGTATTTATGACATTTAGTTTACTTAGTATATACATATATATACATATATGTATGTAGTTATGTACCATATTCACCGGAAATGCATAAGCATGCCATTTATCATTTATTCATATCATAGACAAAAATATGTTGTCATTATTTGTTGTTTTACTTAGCAAGTACAAGCTTTTGTTTTCACACAAAAATAAAATTTAATGCTAAATTAATAATTTCCCAAAAACAAAACAAACATATATAGCCATAGATGTATGTGTGCAATGCTATTAGAGGGCCTCAATCGCTTTTTGTATATATGTACATGTGTTTTTTTGCATATCAACGTCGGAAGTCTTCATAATTTTTTTTTCTTGTTGTTCCTCAAACAAATTATGTGGGTTTGTTTTGCCTGACATTCAGACGGCAGAAAATGCCATTTACGCACACTTAAATCAACATTTTGTGGTCATTTCTTTTTTGGCTTCTTTTCTCTTTAAATCTATTTGTCTGTCTTTTGTTTTTTGACAACGACCATTCAAATAAAGAACTTGGCACAGTTTTCCTTTTCGGATTTTTTCGTTTTTTTTTATTTATATAGAAGTGCGTTCGGCATAGACCAAATAATTGGATTTTGACCGGAAAAAATTAAATATAATAATTAAAATCGAAAAAACCTAAAACAATTAAAAAGCAGTAAGTTCGGCCGGGCCGAACTTTGAATAACCTCCACCATTTGGAATGAATTTGAGAATTTAAAAAATAAATAAATAAATAAAATAAAATTCGTTAAAAATTCATTTAAAATCTTAAAAATACGGAATATAGCCGTTTTATTTGGGTCTATACGAAGACGTGGAACTGCATAGGAAAGTTTTGTCAGAAGATTCAAATACGAACCTTGAAAAAAAAAGGGCTGTAAGTTCGGCCGTGCCGATCTTTGAATACCCTCCACCATTTGGAACGAATTTGGCAATTCTAAAAAACAATAAAATCCGTTAAATATTCTGTTAAAATCTTAACAAGTAAAAAAGCTGTAAGCTCGAACATTTGGAACGAATTTGGCAATTTTCAAAAAAAAAAAAAATAAATAAATAAAATCCGTTAAAAATTTTGTTAAAATCATAAAATACCGAATGTAGCTATTACATTAGGGTCTATACGACGATATGGACCTGCATAGGTAACTTTTGTCATATGCCATTACAATATTCAAATGCGAAACTTAAAAAAATCGGTGAATAATGTAGCTAAAATCATCAAAATTCCGAATATCGGGAGGTATCGTTATATGGGAGCTATGCGAAAACGTCGATCTGCACAGACAATTTACTGTCATAGGCTGTAGTATCCACTACGAATATCAAATACCAAATTTGAAAGACTTCCGGTAAATAATGTCGCTAAAATCATCAAAGTACCGAATATCGGGAGGTACAGTTATATCGGGGCTATACGAATATGTGGACCTGCACAGACAACTTTCTGTCATATGCTGTAGTATCCATTACGAATTTCAAATAACAAATTTGAAACAATTCCGGTGAATAATGTCGCTAAAATCATCAAAATACCGGATATTGGGAGGTACCGCTATATGAAGGCTGTACGAAAACGTAGACCTGCATAGACAATTTTTTGTCATAGGCTGTAGTACCTATTAGGAACTTCAAATAGGAAATTTCAAATAATTTTGGTGAATATTGTACCTGAAATCGTCAAAACACCGAATATCGGAAGGTGCCATTATATGGGGGCTATACGAAGACGTGGACCTGCACAGACAATTTTCTGACACAGACTGTAGTATCAAATATTAAACAATTCCGGTGAATAATGTTTTTAAAATTATGAAAATACCAAATATCGGAAGGTACCAAATATCTGTATGTACCGTTATATGGGGGCTACACGAAGGCGTTGACCTGGACAGACAATTTTCTGACACAGGCTGTAGTATCCATTACGAACTTCATACAACAAAAATTTGTAGATATTCTGGTGAATAATGCCGCTAAAATGCTGAAGGCGTGGGCCTTTTTTGTCATAGGCTGTAGTGCCCATTATGAATTCTAAATACGAAATTTGGAACACCTCCCTAAAATCGTCAAAACATCAAATATCGGGGGGTACCGTTGTATGTGGGCTTTACGATATCGTGGACCTATAAAGAACTTCTTGTATGGATTTTTAGTCAATTCCATTGAAAAACGTAGCTATAAGCATCAAAATGCCAACAGGACTCATCACGCGCCACCCTAGAATGGTTAGAAAATGACGTTCCTCGCTTCATTTCCAGCGCGCAATGCTCATAAAAATCTCCGGATACCAATCCGTTGGACTATTGTGTCTGGAGTATTTTGGAAAGCAAGGTTGGCACTAAAAAATACCGCGCTTCGCTGGGAATGGGCCAAAATACCGCAGAGCAACATTCGTTTTCATTGGCCGTTTGAAGGCCATAATTCGTGCCAAAGGTGAACAATTCGAACAAATCTAAAGTTATTCTAAAATTTGATGCTATTTCCGACATTTTTTGTTTCATTCAATAAAATTTAAAAAAAAAAATTAAAAATTATTTCGTTTGACTTTGTTGCAGTTTTTTATCTCACCCCGTACTTTCTTACGGAAAATACGCTGTTTGATTTTGAAATCTTAAATTCTTGTTTTTATAATTGAGTATTATAAATGATATTTTCTTTTATGCTGATTTTTTATGGATGTCATTGTTAAATAAAAACAAATTCTGTACTCACTCTTCATCTTCGGCAAGGGCCGTTTGAAAACGTGGTTGAACATAGTTCCAGGCACCTTGATTCTTGTGCTCTTCCTGGGCCCATATAACATCAGCGTTTTTGTATTTCAAAATTTCCTCCCTCACCAGGTCAAATGGGAAAGGACAAATCTAAAAAAAGAAATTTTAACAACATTTTTTTTTTCCAAAAATCCATGCATATAATCCCCACCTGTTCCACTCGTATCAGGCAAATTTTCTTTTCAGCCTTCTTATCAGCTCTGGCCTTAAATAGATCAAAATAAACACGGCCCGAACAAAATACCAATTTTGTAACACAATCAGGATTTTCCATGGCAGGACCCTCATCGGCGATGATGCGTTTAAATTCCGTGCACTCCGCCATCTCGGAAAAGGGACTTTTAGCCAAAGGATGCCGTAATCCCGATTTGGGGGTGCACAAAATCAATGGCTTACGAAATGGCAAAGCAATTTGCCTCCTCAAAATGTGAAATAAATTCGCCGGGGTTGTACAATTGGCCACAATCCAATTTGTCTCGTTTAGCTGATGCAAGGCAATATCCTCACAATCACAGGGCGGCAACGTATCCGGATCATCATGACACATTTGTAGGAAACGTTCCAGACGACACGACGAATGTTCTGGGCCCATACCCTCCATGCCATGTGGCAGCAGAACAACCAAACCCGATTGCCGTACCCATTTCATTTCGCCACAAGATATGAATTGATCAAAAATCGCTTGACCCGTATTACTGAAATCGCCAAATTGTGCTTCCCACATTACCAAAGCATTTGGATTACTCATCGAATAGCCGTGTTCAAATCCCAATACAGCATATTCACTAAGACTGCTATTCGATACAGAATACGTGGCTTGATCGGGATAGAGATTGGCCAAAACATTGTAATTTAGTCTGTCGATGGTTTGATGCCACAAAACGTGATGACGATGTGAAAAGGTACCCCGCTCCACATCTTCTCCCGATAGACGAACGTGTACACCTTCTTTGAGCAGCGTGCCATAGGCCAATGCCTCGCCCAAAGCCCAATCGGCCAAACGATCTTTTATCATTTGCCGACGACCTTGTAGAATGCGTTCTATTCCTCTGAAAGTGGGGAAAAGAGGGGATTTGAAATGAAGATAAAATTGATGTATGTCGTCAGAATAAAACCACGAAAAAATCTTGTTTTAAAAAAATGCACTGCGCGATAAAATAAATATTTTTCAATAATTACAAGAAATATTCAGCAGATTTGAAAATGCAGCAGAAGAATAGTATATTGGCGTTTTGAAATTTTACACCGCAAAGTAACCTCAATAAAATGGGAAATTTCCCCCGTATTCCGCACTTTATGAAATGTTCGGCCTAAGAATCCGACAATATTACAGATAGTGTTACAATACGAGGACATTTTTAACACTCAAGCGAGTCACCAAAGTGGTCCTTTTGGACCTTTTTATACCCTACACCACATAGTTGTAAGGTTATTATGTCTTAGTGCATTTGTTTGTAACATGGAGAATGAAGCTAGATAGACCCATATTTACTTTTGAGGATCTTCATAGAATCACTTTCTAGGTCGATTTATACATGTCAGTTCGTCTATCCATCCGTCCGTCTGTCCTTGTATTTTTGTGAACAAAATACAGGTCGCATTTATTATCCGAATGAGATGAATTTTTTTCAAACAAAATTTGTTTGGCCCAAGGACAAACTCCATTGAAACTGGTAAGAATCGGTTCAAAATAAGATATAGCTCCCATATATATTTTCAACCGATTTCGGGTTAATTGTGCACCAAATGGCCAATATCAATTCAAAATGACCTTAATTTTGGCAAATCTGACCGAATTCAGCCTAGAAGCAACTACATCATTTGGAGAAAATCGGTACAGATATAGCTATAGCTCCCATATATATGTTTCATCCGACTAGGTGTTTAAGTCCCTCATATGCGTAATATGAACTCCACAAGAATAATATTTGGTACCCGATATCAGATATAGTCCAAAAATACCTCTGTCAAATTATATCGAGATCGGATCAGATTTGGATATAGCCCCCATACATTTCTTTATTCGATTTTAGGTTTATTGTGCACCAAATGGCAAACATCAGCCCAAATGGACTGAATCTTAGCAATATCGACTGAATTCAACCTAGGAACAAGTACTTCAAATTTCGTGTAAATCGGTTCCGATATAGCTATAGCGCCCTTTATTCAATTTGGTTTTAAAGTCCCTCACATGCGTAATATGCACTCCACAAGAATAATACTTGTTACCAGTTATAAGACGTAGCTCAAAAATAAGTGCCTAAAATTTTATCAAGATCGGCTCAGATTTGGGTGAGATGAAAAAACTGCAACCAACGTCAGACTGCTGTCATTTCTAAGCCACTCGTCCGACAGCTGTTAGAATTATTCCAGTGACAGCTCATTATATTGTTTACAAGCGTACAAAAGCATTTTGTTGAGAATTTCCCAGAAAAAGTTATTCGTGATGGAATTCAAGCGTGATAGTAGTGTGATTTCTTTATGTTTGGCTGGAAAACCACAAGTGGCTATCGTTAGATCACTCCCGCATTTAAATGTGAATAAATCTTTTGTGTCTCATACCATCTCAGTATCGGTGATACTGGTAGCGTAGCCCGACGTCAAGAAAGTGGACGGAAGAAAACAGCAACATCAGCAGAAATGGTTCGAAAAGTAAAGAAGCGACGTGATCGAATCCCGCGTCGCAGTGGCCGAAAGATGGCTCCTGAGCTAAATATATCGCAACATTCCATTCGGCAAATATTGAAAAATGGGCTCGGAGTAAAGTCATTGAAATTCTTAAAAGTGTAAGAACTTACACCGCAACAGGAAGAAAATAGACTCAAAAGAGCTAAAGAATTGCTTCTCCTGGCCGAAAGTGGTGATCTGCCGAATTTGGTTTTCGCTCTCTTCGATGAGAAAACATTCGTTGTCCAGCAGTTTGTAAACAAACAAAATGATCGTGTTTACTTGCCAAAGAGGTCAGCTGAACTCAAGCGCCGGCCATGGTGATGGTGCGGACCGCCATAACAGACAATGGTCGCTCTCCGCTCGTATTAATTCGATCGCGGAAATATTCTGGAGGGTGTATTAAAGCTCAGCACCATCGCACTCAGCACGCGCCACCAAAGAATGGTTACAAAATGAGGTTCCTCGCTTCAATTCCAGTGCACAAAGGCCACCAAAATCTCAGGATACCAATCCGTTGGACTATTGTGTCTGGAGTATTTTGGAAAGCAAGGTTGGCATTAAAAAATACCAAAATGTCGATCACCTCAAGCAAGCGCTTAGCCAGGAATGGGTCAAAATACTGCAGAGCAACATTCGGGCACCGTGTGACGGTTTCATTAACCTTTTAAAGGCCATAATTCGTGCCAAAGGTGGCCAATTCGAACAACTCTAAACTTATTCTAAAATGTTATGCTATTTCCGACATTTTTTGCTTTCATTCTATAAAATAAAAAAAAATTAAAAATTATGGCGTTTGACTTTGTTGCAGATTTTTTTTATCTCACCCTGTATTTTTGACCAGCATAAAATTCTATGTCGATTTAGCGACGTCCGTCCGTCTATCCGTCTGTGGAAATTACTCCAGCTTCCGAACAAAATGAAGTAGGTTGATAAAATTTTACTCAAATGTCTTTTGGTATGGAAAATGGGCCATGTAGGTCCTCGTTTTGGTATATCCCCCATATAATGGCACCTCCCTATTTTCGGTAGTTTGGTGATTTAAGTGGCATTATTCACCGGAATGTTTCAAATAACAGAAAATTGTCTGTGCAGATCCATGTCTTCCTATAGCCCTCATATAACAGTACCACCCGATATACTGTATTTTGATCATTTTAGCGACATTATTCACCAGAATTGTTTCAAAATTTGGTATTTGAATTTTGCATCCATAGCATTAGCAGCCTATGACAGAAAATTTTTTGTGCAGGTCCACGTTTTGGTATAGCCCCCATATAATGGTACCTCCCTATATTCGGTATGCTGATGATTTTAGCGACATTATTCACTAATTTTTTTCAAGTTTCGCAATTGAATATTGTAATGGCTAATTTTTCTTATGCAGGTCCACTTCGTCAAATAGATCCTAATAGAATTGTTACATTCGGCATTTCGGTATAAATCCGAAATTATCTTCAAAATATTTCTCTTACTTGTGAATTACAAACTGAGCTTCTGCTGGTGGTGGGGTGGAGAATTTCTGTGCAATATGTAATAGAACTTCTTCCTTAACGCCTGTCGCTGGCATTTGCATGCGATCCTTGCCATCAAAAAATCCAGACCATGGAGAATCTATCCAGTCCTTATACTAAAAAAAATTTGTATTTTTTTTTAATTTATAAAAATAATTTCAAATTGTTCTCCTGCAACTTACACTAATACTTCGTTCCTTGTCGGCTTCCTTAAAGCCCTCCTCCAAAATCTGGTCATATTCCGCAACAAGCGCTTTCAACTCCTCGGCACTCAATACCATTTCCTTAACCAATTTTTCCGAATACAATTCTAACACCGGTTTATGTTTTCGTATCTTTTGATACATCAGAGGCTGGGTAAACATTGGCTCATCAGCTTCATTGTGGCCATTGCGACGATAACCCACCAAATCGAGAACTATGTCATTACGCCATGTAGCTCTCCATTCCGATGCCAAACCGCTAAGAAACACCGCCGCCTCGGGGTCATCAGCATTGACATGTAAAATGGGTGCATTCACAACCCTGGCCACATCTGTGCAGAACGGTGATGAACGATGAAAACGTGGATCGGTTGTAAAACCCACTTGATTGTTGATGACAATGTGTATGGTTCCGTGATTTGTATACGAGGGTAAATCGGATAAATGTATACTTTCATACACCACTCCCTGACCGCAGAAGGCAGCATCACCATGTATGAGAATCGACATAACTTTACGTCCCTCCGAATCGCCTTTGTAGAATTGTTCTGCTCGAGTTTTGCCCATGACAATGGGATTTACCGCTTCCAAATGGGAGGGGTTGGCAACGAGGGCAATTCGTACGTTTTTATTCGTGACACGATTTAAACGTTCCACGTAGGTGCCCAAATGGTATTTGACATCCCCGGAACCCTGTAAGGGAAATACGAGAAATAGTTTTAAAATTAGACCAGACCTTGAGAGAGAGAGAGAGAGAAAGAGAAAGACTACGGCTTTAAATTGATTGATTGATAACTGTAACTTCAACACAAAAAAAAAAAAAACTTGTAGCCAAAAAAAGAGCTTGTAACCAAGAAATGCTGGAGAGTATTGCAAAGGACTCTAGCCCCCAAAATACAATTTCAAGATTCTTACCGAATCTTCTGCCTCCAGTATTCGAAATTGTGCAAAAATTTGATGCAATGGCTTGCGACAGATATTCGCCAATGTATTCAGACGGCCACGATGAGCTAGGCCAATAATAAACGATTCAACACCCAGGGCCGATGAACGATCAATAACTTCCTTCAAACACGGAATCAACACTTCACAGCCTTCCAAACCGAAACGTTTCTCCGATGGCCATTTCTTTGCTAAGAAATTTTCAAAACTAAAAATAAAATGAATAAAACTTCAATTCAGTTTCTTTTTCCAATCTTTTCTTACGCCGTTGCTCTGATCAGACGCGATAAAATCAGTTTCTTCTTTTCCGCCGACATTTGCAGTTGACCTGGTTTTTCAATTCGCTCCCGTATCCAGCTACGTTTTTTCGGACAAAATATATACATGTATTCAATGCCCATGGTGTCGCAGTAAATGTTTTCCAAACGTTTAATTATTTCACTGCAGGAAGAGTTTTAAAAAATGTCAAATCTTAAAGGTGTTAATTTCTTACCGGAAACTTAGTTCCTGTTCATCGCCACCAATACTGGTTGTTGCTCCGGTCAATTTGATGGATTGGTCCAAATTTCTGTCCTCTGTAAAAAATTAAATTTAACCAGTAAGGAAAGGTGAAAAGTCGGGCGGGGCCGACTATATGATACCCTACACCTCTAAGGGTAGTTAGTAGAGCTCCCGTAATAAAAAGGTTTATATTGGAAATTTATGTGATCATACCAACTACGAACCTTATTGGAATGCGTTTCATGGGTTTCTGAAACGATTTTTAACAAATTTGGCAAAGGCTTTGGTACCTATAGTACCAAATAACATTGTTGTACAGAGTGAGATAAAAAAAACTGCAACAAAGTCAAACGACATAATTTTTACATTTTTTCTTTCTTAAATTTTATTGAATGAAAGCAAAAAATATCGGATATAGCATCAAATTATGGAATAATTTTAGATTTGTTCGAATTGGCCACCTTTGGCACGAATTATGGCCTTCAAACGGCCATTTTTTAGTGCCAACCTTGCTTTCCAAAATACTCAAGACACAATAGTCCAACGGATTGATATCTGGAGATTTTGGTGGCCCTTGTACGCTGGAAATGAAGCGATGAACCTCATTTTTAACCATTTTTGGGTGGTGCGTGCTGAGTGCGGTGGTGCTGTGTCCTGTTGAAATGTCCAAGGTCTGCGGCCAAAATGTTTGCTTGCCCAAGGCTTTAATATACCTTCCAGAACCTTTTCAGGATAATATTCGGCATTATTTCTGATGCCAAGGTCGATTAATACGAGCGGAGAGAGACCATCGGTTGTTATGGCGGCCCACACCATCACCATGGCTGGTGCTTGAGTTCTGGTGACCAACCTCCAACAAACTGCTGGACAACGAATGTTTTCTCTTCGGCAGTTCGCTACTTTCAGACAAGCGAAGCAACTCTTTAGCTCTTTTGAGTTTATTTTCTTTCTGTTGCGGTGTAAGTTCTTGCACTTTTTGGAGTTTCAATGGATTTAACCCGAGCTCATTTTTCAATATCTGCCGAATGGAATACTGCGATATGTTTAGCTCATGAGCCATTTTTCGGCCACTTCGAAGCGGGTTTCGATCAAGTCGCTTCTTTTCTTTTCGAAGCATTACTGCTGATGTTTCTGTTTTTTTTTTCGTCCAGTATCACGGTAACGAGCGATGGTACAAGACACAAATGATTTATTCACATTTTAATGCTGGAGTGCTCTAACCATAGCCACTTATTGCTTTGCATCCAAATAAAAAAAATAACACACTCACGCTTGAATTCCATCACGAATAACTTTTTTTCTGGAAAATTCTCACCAAAATGCTTTGGTAAGCTTGTAAACAATATAATGAGCTTTTACTGGAATAATTTTAACAGTTGTCGGATGAGTGGCTTAGAAAAGACAGCAGTCTAAAGTTGGTTGCAGTTTTTTAATCTCACTCTGTATGGTGGATAATAACCGTAAAATTCGATGAAGATGTTTATCGGACCGATCTCTATAAAATTTGGCAGAGGTATTTTCGAACAGTATCTGATGTCCGGTATCAAATATCTTTGTTGTTGAGTGCATATTACGCATGTGAGGAACTTTAACACAAAATCGGACGAAACATGTATATGTTAGCTATTGCTATATCTGAACCGATTTTCACCATATTTGAAGTACTTGTTTCTAGGATGAATTAGGGGCGAAATGGCCAAATTTCGGTTCATTTGTGTTGATAAGAGCCATTTGGTGCACAATAAACCTGATATCGGATAAATATTTAGCTGTATCCAAATCTGATCCGATTTCAATAAAATCTGACAGAAGTATTTCTGGGCTGTATCTGATATCGGGTACTAAATATTATTCTTGTGGAGTGCATATTACGCATATGAGGGACTTAAACACCAAATCGGATAAAACATGTATATGGGAGCTATAGCTATATCTGAAACGATTTTCACCAAATTTGATGTACTTACTTCTAGACTGAAGTTGGTCGGATGTGCCAATATTCAGGCCATTTGGATTGGTATTGGCCATTTGGTGCACAATTACCGCGAAATCGGTTGAAAATATAAATGAGTGCTATATCTAAATTTGAACCGATTTTCACCAATTTCAATAGGTTAAAAATTTTCATCTCAATCGGATAACAAATGCGACTTTTTTGTTTACAAAAAAACATGGATATACGGATTGATATGCATAAATCGACTCGAAAAGTTATTCTATGAAGATCCTCAAAAGTAACTATGGGTCTATCTCGCTTCCTTCTCCATGTAAGAAATAAATGCACAAAGATATAAAGGCATTACCACTATGTACTGTAGGGTATAAAAATTATATAACGGACTACTACCAGATATCTATATTCAATTACGAGAAGATTCTATACCAAATTATGCAGAAAAAAACTTTTTACACGTCTTCCGATTCCAATCTGTAGGCTTTCTGACATCTATAGGTCTTCCAAAAAAAAAATAGCTCCATATATTTACCTTTGAAAAAATCAGCCTTGATGAAAACATTTTCATTTGCATTCAATTGCATTCCACATTTTGTCATCGTCTTATTATGACTTATAATCCCCAAGGGATCTAAATTCGCGGCCAGAAAACCACGAGTTTGATAGCTGCGAATAATATCATGAACTAAAATGTGATCATCTATGGCTTTTTGGGCCGAACCGCCACCACTACAGAATTGGGATATGGACATTGTATTACGCTGGGGATGGGACTCGGCAGGTACAGGCTCATATACACCCGAACGGAAATAAGAATCCCACGACTGAAAACCATGCAAAATAAGGAACAACCATTTCCAATTGAAACCCAAAATTACATACCGTATGAACACAAGTTGGATCTCGTTGCCAGGCACGATACATATCCTCAACATATGTGGCACTGGAACCACCACCCACCGCTGTTGGCAGTGGTGGCCTGCGTTCTTCCGATTTGGCAGTTTTACTGGCGTGGCGTCGATTTATAAATCCAGTGATTGCTTTTTGGGTTTTCTAATATCAAGAGGGGGGAATGGGAAGATTATTTGAATTTTTCCCAAGATATTGTATCATTTGTTTTTGTATCACTCACCACAAGTAATTTACATTCATCCCTAAAATATGATGGACCTTGTTTTACAATTGCAATAGATTTAATGCAATTCCTCCTCAATTGCAACATTTTGTGATTTTCAAAAATATAAAATTTAAAATTCTTTTATTTTTCTAAGAAATAATAAAAAAGACAATAATGAAATTTGAAATTGTCAATTTATGTTTTCAGTTAGGTATACAGGGTTAGATGAAAAAACTGCAACCAACTTCATACTGCTGTCATTTCTAAGCCACTCGTCCGACAGCTGTTAAATTTATTCCAGTGACAGCTAACTATATTGTTTACAAGCGTAAAAAAGTTATTCGTGATGGAATTCAAGCGTCGTTAGAGCACTCCAGCATTTCGGCAAAATGTGAATAAATCGTTTGTGTCTCATACCACCTCTCGTTACCGTGATACTGGTAGCGTAGCCCGACGTCAAGAACGTGGATGGAAGAAAACAGCAACATCAGCAGAAATGGTTCGAAAAGTAAAGAAGCGACTTGATCGAAACTCGCGTCGCAGAGGTCGAAAATGGCTCGTGAGCTGAACATATCGCAATATTCCATTCGGCAAATATTGGAAAATGAGCTAGGGGTAAAGCCGTTGAGTGCAAGAACTTACACCGCAACAGTAAAATAAAGAAAATAGACTCAAAAGAGCTAAAGAGTTGCTTCGCTTGGCCGAAAGTGGTGAACTGCCGAATTTGGTGTATTCCGATGAGAGAACATTCGTTGTTTAGCAGTTTGTAATCAAACAAAATGATCGTGTTTACTTGCCAAAGAGGTCAGATGAAAATGTGCACGTTCGGTTGGCCACCAAAACTCACGCGCCTGCCTTGGTGATGGTGTGGTGTGGGCAGCCATAAACAGGCGATGGTCGCTCTCCGCTCGTGTTAATCGACCGTGGCATCAGAATAAATTCCGAATATTATCGCGAAAAGATTCTGGAGGGTGTATTAAAGGCTTGGTCACGAAAACATTTTGGCAGCAGACCTTGGACATTTTAACAGGACTCAGCATCATCGCACTCAGCACGCGCCACCCAAGAATGGTTACAAATGAGGTTCCTCGCTGCATTTCCAGTGCACAATGGCTACCAAAATCACAGGATAAAAATCCGTTGGACTATTGTGTCTGAAGTATTTTGGAAAGCAAAGTTGAAACTAAAAAATACCAAAGTGTCGATCACCGAGCAAGCGCCGGGAATGGGCCAAAATACCGCAGAGTAACATTCGGGTAGCGTGTGACGGTTTCATTGGCCGTTTAAAGGTCATAATTCATGCCAAAGGTGACCAATTCGAACAAATCTAAATTTATTCTGAAATTTGATGCCATTTCCGACATTTTTGCTTTCATTCGATAGAATTTAAAAAAAACAAGTTAAAGAGCAGTAAGTTCGGCCGGGCCGAACTTTTAATACCCTCCACCATTTGCAACGAATTTGGAAATTTTCAAAAAATAAAATCCTTAAAAAATTCTGTTAAAATTTTAAAAATACCGAATATAGCCTTTATTTTGGGGTCTATACGACGTGGACATACATAGGCATTGTGGTTATAAGCCATTACCATATTCAAATTCGAAACTTGAAATAAACGGTGAACAATATAGCTAAAATCATCAAAATACCGAATATAGGAAGGTACCGTTATATGGGGGCTATACGAAGAGCTGGACCCGCACAGACAATTTTCTGTCACAGACTGTAGTTCCCAAAACGAACTTCAAATACCAATTTTAAAACAATTCCGGTGAATAATGTCGCTAAAATCATCAAAATACCGAATATAGGGAGGTACCGTTATATGGGGGCTATACGAAGACGTGGACCTGCACGGATAATTTTCCGCCTTAGGGTGTATTTGAACTTCATTTTGAACTTCAAATACCAAATTTGAAACAATTCCCGTGAATAATGTCGCTAAAATCATCAAAATACCGAATATCGGGAGGTACCGTTATATGGGGGCTATACGAAGACGTGGACCTACATGGCCCATTTACGAACTTAACCTGCCTACTGGAAAAATAAACATGTGTGCAAAATTTTAGCCACCTATCTCAATTCATTCGAAAGATAGCGTGATTACAACAGACAGACAGTCGGACAGACAGACAGGCAGACAGACAGACAGACGGACAGACAGACAGACAGACAGACAGACAGACAGACAGACGGACATCGCTAAATCGACTTAGAATTTTACGCTGATCAAGAATATATATACTTTGTTGGGTCTGATATGAGTATTTCGAGGAGTTACAAACGGAATGACAAAGTTAATATACCCTCCATAGTATGGTGGAGAGTATAAAAAAATGTAAAAAAAATATGACGTTTATATTTTGTTGCAGTTTTTATACCCTCCACCTTGGAAAGGAGGGTATATTAATTTTGTCATTCCGTTTGTAACATCCCTCAATATTCGTCGTAGACCCCATAATGTATATATATTCATAATCAGCATTAAATTCTCAGTCGATTTAATGATGTCCGTCTGTCTGTTGAAATCACGATACAGCCCATATTATTTGACGTAGAGCGCCAAAATTTAGCAGAGCAATTTTTATTGTGTCTAGGATGGTTGATATTGAAAATGAGATATATCGGTCTACGTTTTGGTATAGTCCCCATATAATGGTACTTCCACATTTTTCCACGGATTTCTCTGACAATTGGTATTTGTAGGTCATAACGAGTCCTAGTTCGTGTGGCGAAAAATTGTAATTATAGGTCCACGTTTTGGTATAGTCCCCATATAATGGTACCTCCCGATATTCGGTATCTTGATGGTTTTTGCCACATTTTTTCACTGATTTGTCTAAAAATTGGTATTTATAGGTCATAAAGGGTCCTAGTTCGTGTGGCGAAACATTGTAATTATAGGTCCACCTTGTGGTATAGTCCCCATATAACAGTTCCTCCCGATATTCGGTATGTTGATGATTTTTGCCACATTTTTTCAAGGATTTCCAAGGACGTCTAATAATTGGGTCTGGCTGCGGTGGCGAAACATTGTATGTATAGGTCCACGTTTTGGTATAGCTCCCATATAACGGTACCTCCAGATATTCGGTATTTTGATGATTTTTGACACATTTTTTTCACGGATTTGTCTGAAAATTGGTATTTGTAAGTCATAATGGGTCCTAGTTCGTGTGTCGATTTTTGGTATTTTAATGATTTTTGCCACATTTTCCCACGAATATGTCTAAAAATTGGTATTTGTGGGTCATAATGGGTTCTAATGTTTCCTTTACCTTAAGGTGGAGGGTATTCAAAGTTCGGCCCGGCCGAACTTACAGCTTTTTTACAGCTGCCATCGTATTCCATTATAATATGACATTAATATGCCTAGCCATGATGACAAACTGCTTATGTACCCTTACCTTTGTTTTTATGTCATGCAGTATAATAAAAACCATTCCCAATGATTGTTACAATCGGCCCTTATCCAAAAAAATATAGACCACCAAATGCCTTTTTCAAATAGGTGTAGGTATTTTATTGAATTAATTTTTCAAGTTTCGGGTTTTCTCGATTTTTCATTTTGTATTTCTATTGTTTCGTAATAAACAAACAAATATTTATGCATTCTTATAAACTGATTGGTGCAGAGGTTTCACAGTTTTCTCCATGTACTTACTTATTTACCTTAGATTGGTGTAAACATACTATACATTCTTGTTTACATATGTCTGTACGTACGATATACAACTAATATAATGCATACAAAATGTCCCATTCTTATTACCATTAGCTGTATAATATCGAGTTAGGTGCAGTATCAAAGATTTGTCATCGTGTTCTGTTTCTAGTGTTTTTTTATTTTTAAGAAGGTGCCATATTTTTTTTTTGTAATTTTTAAATCATTTTCAATACTAATATTTTTCTATAGAAGCCTTACATTACTAAAGCTTTATTTTTTTTATAAAGTTCGTGTCCGAACTTTGTTTCGCCAAAATGGTTAATAAACGTTATACTAGTTTTTGTTGAATTTATGTCAACATGTAAGTAAGTTTTATATAATTTACTTTACTTTTTTTTTGTAAAATTTGTTAGTGAAAATATTAATTTTCAATAAAAAAAGATGTTGAAGATAGTTATGTTTGTGTTAACATCCGTTTTTTCACTGTCTTGATCCAGTTACCATTTTTTTTTTTGAATTTTTTATCAATAAAAAAGTATCTTAATTTATCACTCATTATAAATGTCCTTATTTTTTGTGATCCGTATTTTTGTTGTTTAATTTTGATTTTGTATAATAAATGATATATATGTGTTAGTAGTTTTTGTAGATAAAATGTATTTTTTAATCAGATATTTGTTAATTTCCAATCGCATTTAGTTATATAACAACTTTAAGAAAACAGAATAGTTTTATTTTAAATTAATTTGCAAATATGAAAAGGCATTTCGTTCAATAAAACAATATTAAGCCATAATTAACTGAAAATAGACAAAAATTTTAAGGATTTCGATCTCATTTCCCAAAAAGCAGACCACAGAAAAACTAGCTCGAATTCGAGTAAGGAGTGAAACTTCCTCGAAGTCGAGCAGGGGTAAACAGTTAATTTCCATCTTTTTTTCAATATCAAGTTGAATAATGATGATAACAATTTGCATATGCCCAATTTGCACGTGTAAAGTTTGTGGAAAGAAAATTAAGTTCATAAAATCATGGTAGGGCAGAACTACCATATGATTTTATTTTTATATCCTCCACCTTGGAAAGGAGGGTATATTAACGTTACCTCCCGATATTTGGTATTTTGATGACTTTTGCCACATTTTTCACGTATTTGTCTAAAAATTGGAATTTCTACAGGACCGATATTTGGTATTTTTATGATTTTTTACACATTTTCCCATGAATACAGGGTGAGATGAAAAAACTGCAACCGACTTCAGACTGCTGTCATTTCTAAGCCACTCGCTCGACAGCTGTTAAAATTATTTCAGTGACAGCTCAGTATACGTGTTTACAAACGCACAAAACCATTTTGGTGAGAATTTTCCAGAAAAGTTATTCGTGATGGAATTTAAGCGTGATAGTGTGCTTTCTTTGTATTTGGCTGGAAAACCACAAGTGGCTTTCGTTAGAGAACACCAGCATTTAAATGTGAATAAATA